TTTGGAATTATCATTCAAACTTAGCAACAATTCAGCAAGCCTCCCATGAACCATACCCAGGTATATTTAACTGATTACTACTAGCAATGGGTTGAACATACCTCAGCCACTTCTTTCTCTTCATAAATAAATCAGCTGGTCTATTTTCTCTATCCATACCAGACCCTTTTAATCAATGAAGTTCTGCTATAGTTAAAGGGGACCCCCACTCCCACATACAAACAACACAGGGTCCCTTCCAAATTCCATACCAGGCCCTCAGGGGGTTGTGTGGATTTTGAGGGGGAGCCCCACGCAAAAAAGAGAAAAAAAAACTTTAAGGTTAAATCCAACACAAGTAACATGGGGTCCCCCACAAAATCCATTACCAGCCCCTTTTATTCTGAGCATGCAGCATGGCAGGCCAAAAAAGTGGAGGGATGAGCATGCACCCTCCAAACCATAGAAATCCTCATGAGCCTCAACACATAGTGGTCCCTTATCAGAGGGTGATTTTCAAAAAAATCTTAAGATGTCCAACATGGAAAATGTATACTGTGCCAAATCTTACATTATTTCCACACTCCCCTTGAAAAAAATATTATGATCGACACTGAATGGAAAAAAATGGTACTTACAAAATGATGGGCAGAGAAGAGGAATACAATGGTGAAATGTTACCTCAGTGGTCTCCGGTTGTGACCTCTTCCCCCTTTAAGTTATAACCATTTAAAGCAAACACAAAACATAGAAGAATGGGGTTTTGATGAGAGGTATAACAGCAACGCTTATTTCAATTGGTATAAAAAAAATATGTATTTTCCATATATTGATTATAAAAACATGTATACAATTTCGTTGAATAAAACCTAGATCAATGACATCCTAGGCAAGAATATAAAACCAATTGCATCCTAACTCTCTATATATTCACTCCAATTCATTTTGTTAGTCATATATGTTCAATTGGGAAATCCATATATCCGGTCCCTACGCGTTTCACACGTTGTAAGTGGATAATAATATCAAATAATCATAGTGGTAAAATGGGTGAACAAATGCATTGAGAGTAGGTAAAACATAATCCTACTTCCCCGTGTTGTGTTCTCTTATTTTAACTGGTGTTTACTCCCCTCTATATATCTCTATAATGTGCCCATCTTAATATCCCCATAACACCTCTAGATACTCGAGGGAACCAGTGGAGCCACATATGGACAACACTGATGGGGATTTGCAGTGAAAATGAATTTGGCTTGGCCCCAGGAGAGGCATTTACATGTGTGGGAAGGGAAAAAGAGGTGTTATGGGGATATTAAGATGGGCACGCTTGCTCATTCCTGAAGCGCCCTCTCTCGTGGCCCCAGGGCTCCCAAATTGACTCCTGGATGGAGTGATCGCGCTGGGATTTCGATCCCTGTCTGCACTCGATCTATGGAACCTTACTTGCATCTGGCCATCCCATCGGGTGGTAAGCGAGAGGTGATTGGGTGATGGGGGGTGACGATGGTGGTGGGGGCCTCTCTGTCCGGCTGAGCCGCCAAGAGCACATTCCTTTCTGGTGACCAATTGTGGAAACTTTAAAATAAATGTATGTATTATATCACTCAGATGAACTAACTTAAGATTATATACATATATTTTTTGTTAGACAAATCCATGTTCCCCTGAGGAAGCAACGTGTGAAACGCGCAGGGACTGGATATATGGATTTCCCAATTGAAGATATATGACTAACAAAATGAATTGGAGTGAATATATAGAGAGTTAGGATGCAATTGGTTTTATATTCTTGCCTAGGATGTCATTGATCTAGGTTGTATTCAACAAAATTGTATACATGCTTTTATAATCAATATATGGAAAATAAATAATTTTTGTTATACCAATTGAAATAAGCGTTGGTGTTATACCTCTCATCAAAACCCCATTCTTCTATGTTTTGCGTTTGCTTTAAATGGGCAGAGAAGAGGAATCTAAATG